AAATATATACTGAGTATTTTTCGTATCATTTTTTTTTTGATTGACTTTTTATTTAATTTCCCCGATGTCTAGATTAAACATGGAATGTACAGTCACTCTGCCGGAAGTCGAACATGCCGCAATCGACTGAGTCAGACGGCTGTCTGCACGGTTACTAAAAGAGTGACCGGTGCTAACGAATTAGTCTATTCAAGAGATTGTAGTATACAGTACCGTAATCTGCAAATGCATACAAATCTATTTGTAGATATTATTTATTGTGCAGTATGTTATACAGTGTGAAATTTCGTTTGTGTACAAGTTTGTCTGCGTGTAAAAATTCGAAAGTGCCTTAGAATCGCAACAAAGTTGCAATTGAGTGTCGTGCATCTCATTAGCATATCATTATCCCTTCTGGCCTTTGTTTTCTGAAAAAAATTCCAACTGTTACCGAAGTGAATGCTCTAATTAACGCCGCACCAAGACTTCACGAATCTGAATTCGTCCATTGAAAAAATGAATTTTAATTAAAGCCGCGGCCTCAAAAAGGAATTTTACGGTAGTGTTTGTGACACTGAACCAATCTCTCACTAGATTAAGACCCAGTGAAAATTCAAATTTCATTATAAACTAGTGAAATCAAAGTAAATCTGTTAAAACTCACTGTCTATTTTTTCTTTCACAGTATATTGTTTTCATTTCCTCTACTTTGCTTTGTATAAACTATTCCCTTTGATTCAAACTTAATCAGACAAGTAGAATATCATCAAACACAAAACTTACAGTCAAAATATAATTACATTCAGTAGTGCACAGCTATTAGATTAGTTGGTACATACAGGATGAATATTTGTGGAGAAAACATAAGATTGCTTTATGTTTAGAGATACCATACTAAGTGACAGTTCTTGTATGTACCGGTAGCTGTGTTCATTCTGACATTTGATGATATAATTCCCTTTTGACTTGTGCATGAACCATCAAATCTCCCAAGTACTAAACCTGTTTCTGCATTTTATTGATAAAAACAAATTTGCCTTATTTTCTCCATTCAGACTTGATCTCTATAGTGAAGATGAAGATGACTGTGCATTTCCAGGGAAACGAGCATTAATATCACTGCTATCCTGGTTTGATTATTGTGATGAACTAATAAAAAATGCTCACCCATTAATTGGCAAACTCTTGGCTAAAGAAATAAAAGAAAGATTTTATGTACCTGTTCTGGAGCCATTACTTTTACAAGCGTAAGTGTTTACAGAACTGCAAATGAAAATTAAAGAAGTGTATGGACAATTATGGACACTATTTTGTGAATATATATGTGAATACATTGTATATGCACTTTATAATCAAATAGAATTATATCTTGTGGTTGTCTCTGCATTTGCAACCACATGTTTAGTCCCTGTTCGGACGCAGTCCAAAAAACAGGGACTTATGTTTTGACCTCCGTGTGTGTGTGTGCGTGCGTGTGTGCGTCCGGACCTGTATCTTAGAAATGCCTGGACCAATCACAATCAAACTTCACACATACATCATACATGATATTATACATATGCACGTCAATTTGTTTCACAATCTGATTCAAGATGGCCGAATGGCGGCCATTTTCGTGCTAAAAATCATCAAAATCAAGCATTTCTCGGCTGTTTACAGATGGATTTTGTTCAAACTTGGTATATACATTAGACATTATGGGATCTTGATGCAAATAATTTTGTTTTTCAGATAATATTCAAAATGGCCAACTGGCGGTCATTTTGTTTTAATGAATGTGGTTCTCGTGCCATATCTTTGACTTGCTATCACTGATTATGTTCAAATTTTAAATATTCATTATACATCATGTCATAGACAGATATATTGGTTTGACGATCCTATTCAAAATGGCCAAATGGTGGCCATTTTTGTGCCAAAAAATCATCAAATATCAAGCATTTCTGGTATTTATGGATGGATTTCGTTCAAACTTGGTACATATATTAGACATTACCGGTACATGTTCCTGATGCACATCATTTATTTTTTCAGATCAGATTCAAAATGGCTGTCTGGCGGCCAATTTGTTTTAATGAATGGGTTTCTAGACCTATATCTCCGACTTGTTTTGACTGATTATGTTCAAATTTTAAATATTCATTATACATCAAGTCATAGATTAACAGATATATTGGTTCGACGATCCTATTCAAAATGGCCGAATGGTGGTCATTTTTGTGCTAAAAAATCATCAAATATCAAGCATTTCTGGCATTTATGGATGGATTTCGTTCAAACTTGGTACATACATTAGACATTATGGATTCCTGATGCACATCATTTTATTTTTCAGATTGGATTCAAAATGGCTGACTGGCGACCATTTTGTTTTAATGATTGGGCCTCTAGAGCCATGTCTCTTAAATGCTTTGACTGATTATGTTCAAATTTTATATATTCGTTATACATCATGTTATATATATACATGTATTCAAAATGGTTGATTTTGAATGCTGTTCCAGAGCAATATCTCTCAATATGGACAAGTACTTCTTTGACGATCAGATACAAATGTCAATCATTTTAATGTTAAAAAATCATATTTCTGACATGGTTATATTCCAGCTATATTACTATAAAAAAACTATATATCTTAAGTTTGATAACTAACGGGGACTGTGCCATGCATGGCTTGTTTTTTCATTCATTCAATTGTTTAGTTTGAACTTTTTTTTGAAGAAGTTACCATTTATAAATTTCTGTAAATAATACATCAAATCTCAGCTTTATCTCATTTGTAATGAGTGAACGGTAAATTATTCTTATTTGTGAAATGGCTGACAAACCATAATACCCATTTTTCTCTCCAGTTTTATAAACATATAATGGTTAATATGTAAATTACATATTAATAATAGTTTGGGAGAACACTGTAGGCAATGTTTAATTTTTATTTATTTAATCTGGGATTTTTTTCATTCATTTCACTAATTGAAAACAGATTCTTACTCTCAAAAAAAAAACCTATCTTTGTCCATGAATTGAAAAATGCAAACATTTTCAAACAATTTCCATAGGAAGCCCCATGTTAATGATTATTTTGGTAACATATTTTTATCTGATTTTGTCAATAATAAAAGTATAAAATACTAGTAAAACCATATTGTAAAAGTGATGAAATCTGTCTTCAATTGTAGCCTTAACTGTGTTCTGTTTTTTTCACAGTTCTGAAGTTGGTATTTTAACATGTACCGCTCTCTTAATCAAACTTGTCAAGATGACAACCTCTGAGTCATTGTTATCAGTGACAGTGTATTTTCTACTTGGTGATGCCACTGCCAAAGAAACACCTGGAGAAGCAAGTCATAAACTCAGACATAGATTCATTGAAAGATGTGATCATTTGTCAGATGAGGTATGTTAGAAGAATCAGACTTTTACTTGTTATCAATTCATTTAATCAACTCAATTAAAACCAAGGTTAACACAACTGTACTTAAAATAGAGAAAATAGAACTAAAAAATGCTTCTTTGGCATGACTTCAAAACAACAGTGAAATTGCATTGTATATTGAAATTGAACTCTCAGATCATCCCTATAGCCTTCCATAGATTTAAAAAAAAACATCTATACCCCTCTACCATAGACCCAGTGCTTTACACAAACCCATCTACACCCCACTACCATAGACTCAGTGCTTTAGTAAAACCCATCTATACCCCACTACCATAGACTCAGTGCTTTAGTAAAACCCCTCTACACCCCACTACGAAAGACCCAGTGCTTTAGTAAAACCCATCTACACCCCACTACGAAAGACCCAGTGCTTTAGTAAAACCCATCTACATCCCACTACCATAGACTCAGTGCTTTAGTAAAACCCATCTATACCTCACTACCATAGAGCAAGTGCTTTAGTAAAACCCATCTATACCCCACTACCATAGACTCAGTGCTTTAGTAAAACCCATCTATACCCCACTACCATAGAGCAAGTGCTTTACAAAAACCCAATCTACACCCCACTACTATAGACCCAGTGCTTTAGTAAAACCCATCTATACCCACTACCATGGACTCAGTGCTTTAGTAAAACCCATCTATACCCCACTACCATAGAGCAAGTGCTTTACAAAAACCCAATCTACACCCCACTACCAAAGGCTCAATGCTTTAGTAAAACCCAATCTACACCCCACTATAGACCCAAAGCCCATTATTGATTTTTTCAGATTAGTGTACAGGGTTCTCCCCATAGTGGACGGTGCTGGACGGCCCCATCCAGAACTCAGAATCCGACCGGGACAAAAAGTTGCTGTTTATGATGAAAACACTGACCACTGGACCATCATTCTATTCTCCTTGTTGGTTTTAGCACACAATAACATAATGCAAAAATTAACACAGAACAAAATGTTATTGAAACAAGACACTGCTGTTCAAAATCAACATGTGTGACATTAGCCTAATGTGTCTTTGTTTGAACCTTCTCCGATTGACATTCTGCATTGCAGTTTAATTCTGTGTAGGATTTGTTGAGGTGCACAATAACTTGCTCACCTCACCTGCTGGGATGCATCAGGCTGTCGTTAGTTTAATCTGCACTTGAGTGTAGTAAGCTTCGTTGATGTTTTTGGCTTCGTGACCTGTTCCTAAAATTAAATTCATAAGCTATATTTAGTCAGCGATACAAGGAATACTTATTTCTCACTATTAATGTGATTTATCAGTATTCCATTAGAAAAGAAAACATTAAATTCTTGTTTCCACTTTGGCCGTAACAAACGACATGCTTTGAAAAAATGGCTGCCAGATCAGAGGTCAATGTTTCAATATATGTATTTAAGATGTGATTGCGAAAATAAAGTGTACCGGTATATATTTTTTTCACTTTTATCAAAGCAAATTAATTTTGCATTGAAATATTTAAAATAAAAGTTAAATTATTTAAAGTAGTAAAATCGTAACTTTTAGGATGGCAAAATAAATATTAATTAGCTCATGAATATTAATTAGTGACCAACACTCAAATCAGGCTGGGGAGAACCCTGAGTATACTATCCCGTATCTTTACATGTCTTATTGATTCTTACAGATTAGTATATTGTCCTTGAAATTGTTTGAAGTACTGTTACTAAAGCCTCATGAACATATCATCAATAACCTGGTACTTCGTAATTTAGCTCCACGAACATATCATGCATCATCTGAACTCCTTGCAACTGAAGAATATTTTGAAAGTGATATAGACACAACAGAGGATGATGTGAGTGAGAGAACGGATAGCCCAATGTTTGATGACTCAGATTTACCACCACTTGAATTAGAAGCTTTTGATGATCCAGTTCTTGCTGATGACTTCCCAGTAGAAATACCGGATCAGTTGTTTGATGTGGAAAAGATGGAAAATCAGATCCTGGAGAAGCTTGCAGTGGAGAATCAAATTTTGAATAATGATTTTGAAGACAAGGGTGAGCACAAAGAAGAGGAACAAACAGTTGTTGAAGTTGTCAACCATGATAATTTTGCTGAGGAAGTTGCAGCTGTGGAGAAGGCAACAAAATTGTCCCCACGATCACAGACTTCGTCTAATGCAGCATCTTCCATAGCTTCTGGCTCAATAGTCATGGATGTTACTTCCAATGCTTCTGGATCTGTACTCGTAGAAGAAAGACCAGGAATACATGCTGTAGTAAACAGGTATGAAATACTACAATACACATTTGTCATTGGTGTATTTGACCAACATCAAGAATGTTTTTTGTTTGTTCATCAGAGAAGACTTGTATTCCTGGGGAAGCTGGTGTTCTATCAGATAGAGATAAAATATACTAGGTGTGTGTGTGTGTGTGTGTGTGTGTGTGTGTGTGTGTGTGTGTGTGTGTGTGTGTGTGTGTGTGTGTGTGTGTGTGATATGTCTGTTCACAGTACATTTCATTGTGGATTTGGGCTTAACTTAATTTTTTGCTCCTGTGTGTGAAGTGTGTCTATGTGTGTGTCTTCTTAATATTGTGACAACGTCCATTTAATTTTACACCTACCAAGTGATGACAAACCTACCAAGTGACGACCCTCACCCTTTTTCATAATTTATATTATTATTGCATAGCTCAGAGCTGGTTAGTTTTTGGTTGAAATATGTGCATGTTAATTTTAAGCCTTTACACTTTTTACTTAACTATTCAACATATTTCAATGAAACTTCATACATCAACGCTCTGGGATAATGCACTGACCTGATTAGTTTTTGATTGAAATCCATACATATTAATGACCTAATTAGCCAATTTTAAGCATTTACTCAAGTACCATTCAACAGACTTTAATGAAACATGGTACATAGATGCTCTGGGACAAGTCATTTACATGTTCAGTTTAGGGTTAAAATTTGTGTCTACTAATTACCTAATTTGCATAAATTAACCTATTTATATGTGCTCCACAGATAAATTGAGTACCACTCAACATTTTAATGAAACTAGGTACATACCGTAAAAACTCGATTAATTCGCGGTCTCTATTAATTCGCGCACCCATTTTATTTTCGAACGCTAATTTTTAAATGTATCCTTTTAATTCGCGGCGTTCAAAAACATGTTTAAAATTGTATCCTATTAATTCGCGGGCCAGAATAAAGTGGATAACTCAGAATATATTGCATGAAGACATTAAAAATATACATTTTGTTTGAGTTTTTATGTTATCAGTACTTGGTGTAGCCGCAATCGCAGATGATCTCCGTCATCCATGGAGCTAAAAAAAGAAGGAGACTGGACTAGTTTTAATCCTACTTGAGTCTTTTGTTTTAAGCTGATTATTCTTTTGTGTTTACGCGCCTTTCATGTCGATGACTTCTGCCGGCTGCCGTCACACTGATTATTCAGCCGTCACCGCCTTCCTAAGGTGTGACGATCATTTTTGTTCTGCGCAGTTGACGTCAAAGGTCGGTGAACATGCGCGTAGCGGTAATTACGGAAGAGTGTCGTCAGTTCTACAGGTCTGCGTTTGAGTCATGGAAATCGGACAGGTTTTCAGCAAGTTATTACAATGTATGTGGTTCTCGTAATGTTGAAAACATTGCTCACAAGAAATTGATTATATACCCTATATATCAAATATGTTTTTGAAATACAGTCCCTCACCCCCTTGGCCATTTTCGCCGATTTTTAGTTGCCGGAGTGATTCACGTCCCAAATTTTGGTTCTCCGAGCGTCTCTAATAAATACCCTATCTAACCGCTGGACTGAATTAGCTAAATTATGAAAAATTCATAGAAGATTGGGCAAAAATCGGTCGTTTTTGGCCTCATCGTTTTTTTTGCTCGGAAACGCAAGGGCGATAAGACTCGATTTTCAAGAACGCAGGTCGCTCGGATCGGACGGTTTCTATTGTTTCGAGTCTGTTGTGTATCTAGAAACATAACAACTTTGTTTTTTGGTGAATATAGAACATGCTCTGTTCCAATAAAGGATTTTGATATGCAAATCGAACAATTTTAATAGTTCCTTATTGTAACGTCTCCCATATAAATAGTCATCTACTCCCCAGAATTTGACAATGGTACTAGCCCAGAATTGATTTTCTGTTCAGCGCGTCTTTGATTGTAGCAATGTTTACGCCACTGTGCGAAAATACGCAACACTCGCGAATTTGGCAACATTCACTTGGACGTTTTAGGATAGTGGGAATAGAAGCAAATAGATGGAAATGCCAGCTACACACTCATGAAGATTGATGATTCGATTGCTGGCCGGGATAGATGGATTAAGTGTTCATTTCTATGCATATTGTCTACATCTGCGATTCTCAATTTCGATGTGTAAAATCATATCGCTGCTGTGGACGGCGACTGCTGACAGATTGTTTTGGTTCTGCGGCTCTCTTGGCATGGACAACTGATTTTTAGGTTTCTGTTTTTTTGATATTCTGACGTTCACTTGGTCGTATTTTGTATATATCACTCAGACACTGACAACAAGTAAGTAAACGGGCCGGAACATAATCAACATGCCAGTGGGACTCTGAAGGCCCCGGAGAAAGCGCCATCTTACAACCCTAGCCCTGCGTACATGGCTGTGTAGGGGTGATATTTACATTGGGCTTCTTACGCCACCCCAACACAGCCATGTGAACGGTCACTATGATTTT